TATAACTTCAGAAATGCAACATACTTTCTCATTTGAGTCGTAGTGTTTCATTTTTCAATATTTTTATATTTCGGATGAGTTATATCTCCTTGTGATATTATACTAGTTCAGTTACAGCATGATACAATTTATGCATGCAGTGTTATAAAATAATAATATTGAATTTAAATCAAGTTCAAAAGCTTTTTACCTATATTTTACATAAGTATGTTCAGCTGGGTCGCATCATCAACGTGCATAAAAACGTAAATTTTATTTTTAAAATTTTAAATTTCTACTGAAATTTTAAAAGAAGTTTTTGTTTTCAGACTTACATAACTATGCATATCAAAATAACGCCAAATTAATTCAGAGAACAAAAATTAACAATTGGCAGCTACCTGGACAAAAATGTCTTAGAGGGGCACCAGTATAAAATATATACCAGCTCTCAAAATTTAGGATTTCGCTCTAGATTTTTTTTAAGTCTCAACTTTGTGTCCTTCGAGTCCATAAGTTATAATTCATGCAAAATTTTATCACAATATAAATTATTTTATATACCGCTCCTCAAAGGGTTAATGTAAGGTATACAAAAACTTCTAAGGATTCCCCAGATGACAGACCCAGCCTGATCTGGGTTCCAGCTCATGTGGGTATTACTGGCAGTGAAGCAGCGGACTTGTGAAATCTGCAGCCAATGAAACCAGTAGACTGGAAAACCCAGAAAGCTGCCACACCTCTACTTGAAAAAACATAATGCCCAGTAGTCTTGTACAAGAATGGCAGAAAAGATGGGAAAGCACAGGGAGGAGAGCCTGCAATTTTTTTCTGAAAGTTTCATGCTCAGTTAAAACACACAGTAGCACAAAAACTCATTTCTATGCTGACCATGGTCTTTTCCCACATTATCTTAAGAGATTCAGCGAACGAGACTTGGAATTTTGCGAATGTGATGCAGTAGGTGATGCAAATAACTACCTCTTCAACTGCCCACACACCGATAAACTGCATTTAAAAGCACCAAGCAGTGAATAATGGTCCGTAGTGGGTGGAGAATACCTGCGGCAGCAAGGTCTGTCCTCTGTCTAAAACTGAGACAGAGGAGATGATCAAACTATGCTCAGCAAGGTATTATTAAAAATTTGTGTTCCCCCCCTTTGAGAATTTTATCTTCGCAACATAATTTCAATAACAAATCAGAGTGGTGGGGAGGGGCCTTACAAAAGTAGAGTACATTGAACTGGCCTCTAACAACAGTAATACACAAGTAATTGAACAGTAACAAAGCTACTCCCTCGATAGGTACTACAACTATAATAAGCAGTTGCAACTATTCCAAGCAAATTAGCTAAGGTTCTAGAAAATTGAGTCACGTAACTCCCTACCCAAATTAAGCCAGATAGTATTACAACAATTGAAAATCAACATTAGAAAAATAGCTCACCCTGTACAATAGTAACTGGTCTGTAAGACCAAAAACTATTGTAATGTAAGCTTATTACTATCCATATTGCGTATACTTGTTAAAAAATGCTCTAAAGTAGTTAAAAATAGCATAGAAAAATCCAATCAATGCGTAACTGAATTACAAGTTTACCGTGACTATCTCAGTAACAGTATTGAAAATATGAAATCAAATAATGTTTAAATGTGCAAATAACTATAAGATAATGTTTGTAATTAACGTATTTTCTGTGCTTATATGCAGGTCTTGTATGCCCATGTAATATGTAAAGAAACTGTGGTTTGAAGGTGGCAGAGTGGAAAGCATGATGACGCAATTTAGCACAACATATCTTGAAAAATCACAATCTTTATTTTTTCCATGCATATCAAATCATCCTTTTTCAGATAAGATACTTCCTAATTATATTTGAATAGAATAACTCCCATTTTGAAGTACGACGTCATCTTAAGCAAGTAAGCGGCAGCAGAATGGATGAAATGCATCTTACCAGCAGGAGAGCTAACGCGAAAAAGGGAAAGGTTATAGCACTTTCGTAGCAAGAAGGCTGAAGTTTCAGTTCACAGTTTTGGTTTAGAATTAATTTGATTGGACGAGAGGCATCTGCATTAAAAAGTTACATAAGATAGAAAAGTCTGGAACCTGCGAGAAGAGATTAATTTAGGGGCAGATTACCAAATTTAGAATGTTAATTTTGAGGTCGTCAATTATTTTTTTGAAACAGCTATCATATTTTGTTATATCTTACATATCCCCCCTTCAAAAGAAAAGTTGGGTGAGCAGGGTGGAAGAACAAGCATTATAGCAGCAAAATGTGAAAAGTTATAACTGTGAAAATACAAAACATATTTACTTTTTCTTTTTTAAACAAAAAATTATTGCCATAAAACTTTGAACAATATTTTGACATTTCATTGAAAGTCATAAAATTTTGAATTGAACTATGAATCTTAGCACTGTATTATTTTCAAACAATAGCATATTTTAGAGTTCTGAGATAAGAATGTCCAATGAAATTTTGTAAAGTTCTTGATAGTTCCACATGGTAAAAGTTCAAATTTTTTCACAAACTAAATGTTCAAATAAAATCCTTTCAAATTTTTGTTGATGAAAATACTTCTATTATATTACAAATTGAGATGCCAACTTTTATGTTATTTAATTATGTTTTTTAGAGAAGGTATTTTAAAATATAAAAATTTTGTAAAACATCATTCATAAACACAATTTCAAATTTTTCACTATTATTAAGACATTTAAAATTTAATTATTCTTTATAAAACTTGAAAACTCCACAACTTTATCTAAATATTAGCATTTCCATCATATTGGTTTATCAGTTGAGCAAACTGGTGTTTAATATGCTTCACCAGTGGCCAAAAGATTTGCCAAATTAGCAGTTACTGTAGAAAAGGCCTCCGTTCCTTCTGTACAGGCAACTGGCCTTTTTCGAACTGCTGTCATTCCATACAAATATCAAAAACACACTCCATTTTATGAAAAAATAAAAATACTTAGATTAAAAAAAATGTATTTTTCCATACGGTTAGAGCTTTCAACGTTTATCATAAAAACATTAAAGAAATTCCTACAATTCAAAAATTTCAAACAATAATTTCATTCTTAACATACAGTAAAAATTAAAAAATATAAATTCAAAAAAATTTAAACAATAGTACAAAAATATTATTCGCATTAGAAACCTTCCCCAAGTAAAACATTCATAATTTTTACCAAATTCAATAATTTCTTTTTCCCAATTCAGAAATACAAAAGTACATTTTAAATAAATCATAATATTTTTGAATTATTAACATTGATCTTAAAATGATTAAAGCAAAATATTACCATCAATAAATCATAAAACTATAACTTTTTTTTAAACGTAATTTACTCATTTTGGAACTTAATACCACTTCAATATCACATTAATAACTTTTGATAATATTCCATTCTTTAGAGCACTGAAAAATGCAAAATGTGCACAAAACACTCTTTCCCTCATGAGGTTTCAATGAAATTTCTCTAAATTTGTCACCATTTTTGTTAAAATATTTTAACGGTAAAACGTTAATTTGCGATCCCGTATCAATAATACTGGGAATTTTTTCCTGTCCAATTTGGACATTCACTTTAAAGTAATATCATTTTTTAACTTCTCTTTTAGGAACCGTGTTATAATTAATAGCAGGTAATTGTGGATATCGAATTGGCCGACACGCATACTGTAGAGGTCGGTATTGCACTTGTTGATAATTAAAAGGTCTCGCACTACTACGAAAACTTTGATAAGGAGTGGATTTGCACTGGTCTGGGATAATAGCACCTCGGAACAGTTTGCCTTGGAGAAACAAATTGATAATGACTATTATTTCCTAGACCATCCAACGGCATCTGAACTGGAAACAGTTTCCTACAAGAGTAATCCAGCCTTTCAGGATTTTCGGTGTGTCTATTTTTTGTTTACACTGTTAACAGCATTCTTTGAGACTCAGGAAGTCCTTCCGTTAAGTGCTTCCACCATTGTGGAATCTGTTAGTTTCAAGCTGGCTCCTAATTTCAACTTATTACGAAAATAAACATCAATATTATTAAATTTCTCGTATTTTAAAGACACAAAATCACTAAAAGTAACAGATTCCGATGTTGTGAAGTATGTCTCGAAAATAGCCTTTATGTTGTCCCAGTCTTTGTATCAAATCATCCTTTTCAGATAAGATACTTCCTAATTATATTTGAATAGAGTAACTCCCATTTTGAAGTACGACGTCATCTTAAGCAAGTAAGCGGCAGCAGAATGGATGAAATGCATCTTACCAGCAGGAGAGCTAACGCGAAAAAGGGAAAGGTTATAGCACTTTCGTAGCAAGAAGGCTGAAGTTTCAGTTCACAGTTTTGGTTTAGAATTAATTTGATTGGACGAGAGGCATCTGCATTAAAACGTTACATAAGATAGAAAAGTCTGGAACCTGCGAGAAGACATTAATTTAGGGGCAGATTACCAAATTTAGAATGTTAATTTTGAGGTCGTCAATTATTTTTTTGAAACAGCTATCATATTTTGTTATATCTTACATATATACGGAAGACTATTAACATTGTAGGACTTTCACAGCAAAGTCAGGTCAATGGTTATTCCTGACGGCACTCGGTGCTTAAAATAGTAGGGAGCTAGCCTAGTCTTTTTACTCTATTTATTTACATTTAGGAAATTACAGTTTTGGTCCCCAGTTCTTAAAATATGCATTGCTTATATTAAGAAATAAGGCCCATATGTGTGCTATTATTGGTGTGTTCATCATAGCACCTTTTTTTTTCCCCTCTCTTGTTCGATTTGATTGGTTGGGCCATCATTTGCTTAGATCATATGCAGGCAAAGAAAACTAATTAGTTATAGGGTAAACTGCAACGTATAATATGTAAGAACTACTTTTCTGTTGTAATAGTTTTCACTTTTTATTTATCTGTAAGTTAGGTTGTGATTTTTATATGTATGCATAAGTTTTTTTTTTTTTTTTTTTTTTTTTTTTAAAAGAATCCATTTGTTTTACAGGATGTAATTCAAAAAGCAATATCTGAGAGTCAGCGAATTCGAGCTGAATGGGAAGCTACTCCCCTTTCAGAACGTATCAAGCTGTTTTTAAAAGCTGCAGATTTGGTTAGTGGAAAGTATCGAATGGATCTCAATGCTACTACAATGTTGGGTCAAGTAAGCCTCCTTTTTTTTTAAGTTAACTGTGTTCACTTTAAACAAAACATTTTAGTGATTTAAAGAATTTTTGTTTGTCATAGTCTGTGAAGTCATTAATTTTACTAAATATTAAAACTCTGGTCACATTTAATATGTATGAAAATTGTTAAATTATACAAAGAAGTCCATAAATGATTTCAAAAAGTGCCTTTATGATAATATCCATATTGTTGTAATAAAGAAATATTTCACATAATTTTTGTAATCTCAACATGATAAAAAAAATTACTATTGGCTGGTTGAGTTTTAGTTCCATTTACATCATCATAATTACGTAAGAATTATATGACATGTAATAGTCTCGAAATGGCACAGTGGTGAGAGGGTTTACTATTTTTAGAATAGAGAAGGGAAATTTACGTTGCTAATTTAATCTTTTACATATTCTTCATTTTTCTTACACACACACACACACATATATATATATATATATATATATGACATTACTTTCTAGTATTCTTGTCACATTTTCCTGCATTTTCCCTGTGGTCTGGAAACAATGTCCTTTTAAAGTGATTTTAAGTTTGGAAAAAGTCTGCCAGTTTTTAATGAATAGGTTGGGTAGGGCATAACAGAACTGTGACATATTGTCAAATTGTTGTAGACAAGGAGCATGTACAAGCTGGAGCATTGTCATGACTCAACATCTAACTTTTTTACTGATCTGACAAGCAGCTTGTGCATTACCTCATTAGTCAGTAGTTACTTGGCAACTGAACACGGTAAAAGCTGATGCATTACCAAAGTATGGTGCTTGGTGTGCAGGATGGCTAGAGTGCTTGGTGTGCAGGATGGATTAAGTGTTTGCTTCATTTGAGCTCATTTTAACTCCCATTTCACTTGAAAAATGAGCTACGGAATGTTATATATGAATATACCATCATGTTTCTAAATAATGCGTTGTATTTTTATGTGTTCTTTGATGAACACATAAAAATACAACATTTAGAAATCTTTATATTGGGAAAAAAAAAAAGTGTGTTGTCTATTCCCACTTTCTTTCCCTCCCCCCTTTTTTTGTTTTTATCCTCCCACTTTCATTCCCTCCCCCCTTTTTTTTTTTTTGTGTGTGTGTGTGTGTGTTGTGTAGACCATGACATATTTTTAAACCAAAATATTGAAAATTTTAATTTAAAAGCTCAAAAAGCTTTGGTTTTAAATGCATTTATTTACTAGATATGTACAATTTTTTTTTTTGAATCTTTGTTTTCATATTATTCACCATTAGAGTGATGGTTAGGTCATTAAAGGAACTATAACAAAATATTTAAAAAGAATAAAGCAGTATAGAATGAGCAACAACAAATCTCATGATTAGATAGAAACAGTCATGCCACTCGGAGGATTATTCTTATAATTTGTTAATTAAGAGAATTTTTTAAATATGTTTAGCAAAGATATAATGGCTCGTAGTTGCATTTATTGTTTTACCAATGTCATTTTTATATGATATCATAGTATGAAAGGAAATTCTGCGATATACAGTAATGAAATTAGGTACAGGAACAGATTTCATGTAGGTGTTTCCAAAGAGACTGAACTATAAAACCATAGCTTTATTACTATCATACATTTAAGCATAATCATTTTTTTAAATTGTTTTTGTGGTGACATATTTTTGGAATTTCTGCTAATTTTAATTTGTAAATGAAATTTACTTTTATTGCATTTTTTCAGGCCAAGAATATCATGCAGGCTGAAATAGATGCTGCCGCAGAGTTAGCAGACTTTTTTAGATATAATGCATATTTTGCTAAAGTAAGTAATTAGATCTAAATTTTACCCTAAATATTCCTCCTCCCCCTTGTGTTCCAAATAAATTTTTATATTTCATTTCTTTAACTAAGAAGGCAGTGTATACATTTTTGAGCTGCTGATTCAATAGGCCATTCTTTTTTATGAGATTATAAAGGGATTATTTAAAGCTATATATAAGACTTTTATATAGTATGGTGCTTAAGTTGTTTCTTTCTGATTATCTGCACCCCCTGAAAATATTCACAAAGCAACACACTGTTTCACAACATATCAGTAATTTGCTTAATTTGATGTGCATGTCTTACTGTATGTTATATGTTATAGAAATGAGTTTCCAGATCAAATGATGGTGGTTCAGTCATTTACAAAATTTTACAATTTTAACAGTATTTTAATGAACTATCGTACAGAGCTTATTTTTAGGGTTCAATATAAACAAACTTTCATTATTTTTATTTCATTATTATTAACTAATCTGCCTACAACAATGCAGCTATCAGCACCCCCTAGCATTTTTTATCTTTCAAATTATTCAATATATGTACTTAGTATTTTCGAGAAAATTTTATTTGAAAAAAAATAAGTAATTTATAGTGACTTATTACCTAAGGCTTTATTTTAATTAAATTAATTATGCCAAGACAAACACAAAATTATTCATCAAGCTGCATAAAAATTGAGAAAATTTTATATCATAATGGTATGGCTCTCATACTTATTGGGAAATGTTTAAAGAATTTTTTGGCAATATTATTCTAAAGTCATCACTGCTGTCAATTCATGTAAGAGGTTATTTGAATATGGCAAAGTACATGAAGGACTCTGCCTAGGAGTAGAGATACATACTCCTACATTCTGTTACGAAGAAATTAATTTAATTTCTATTATTGTGAATTCTAAACTTTGCAGGAAGGTATGTATTTTACTGTTTTTAATTCTTTGATAATACTAAATAATTTTTATATTTTTGTTTTTTAGGAATTGAGCAAATATCAGCCTTTAAGTCCAGATCCAAATGTTACCAAAAATTTGTTTCGCTTTCGAGGCCTAGAGGTACACTAACGTATTTTATCTGTTCTTTAAGATTCAAGGCTATTTTAACCTCTTAAAGCTTTTTTTTTAAATGATTAAGTAGAATTATATTTTTCTTATTATGATATCTATATTAATGATAATTAAAACCTGAATATTTGTTTATTTGGAAAAAATGTGTAGGCTTGATTTTTTGTGAAGAAAAATTGTAGTAGTATAGCAAAATTTATGAAAACAGCTGCTGCCTAAACATTATATAATTTAGATTTTTTATTTAACGTGTATTCGATATGTTATATTAATGCAAGTATTAAAGTGACCCAAATCACATTCCGTTCTGAGGCAGATTTTGGAGAAAACAAGAGAGTACAATTTTGGCATCTGCTATCTTTTTATGGACTTCAAAGCTGCGCATGACAACATTATTCAGCAGAAACTATACGGGGCAGTGGAGGAATTAGAAATACCGACTAAGTTAATTAATCTAACAAAAGATTCACTTAATATAAAAGTGTAAAATGTAGAGTTAAACTTGGTGATGATTTATCTGAAGTTTTCTACAGTGACAGAGGTCTATGGCAAGCTGATGCTCTGTCCTGTTTACTTTTTAACCTGGCTCTTGAGAAGGCTATCAGAGCTTCTGATCTTACGAATAAAGGAATCATTTACCATAAGGCAATACAAATCTTGACATCCGTTGACGACATTGCTTTAGTGAGTAGATACAGAAAGTATGTTGCAGAATCATTCAATCTATTAGAAACTGAGGCAAGAAAATTAAGCCTAACCATAAATGAAGATAAAACAGCATTTTTAGAAATTGCCCATAAATTAACTAATCTATCACCACTGACTGTGAATGACTACACTTTTGAAAGTGTGGCATAATTCAAATATCTTGGAACTGTTGTCACTAATAATAATGATTTATCTATGGAAATTAATAATAAGCTCCTCATTGCAAATTGATTGTACCATGATCTTAAAAATCTGTTCAAATCTCGATTTATCTACTGTAATACTAAAATTAATATATGTAAAACCTTGTTACGTCCCTTCATAATATATGGCTTTGAGTGCTAGTCAGTGACTAAAATATTTGAAAGTAAACTACTGATCTGTTAACGTAAAATACTATGAAAAATATTTGGTGCTGTTTGTGAAAATGGTGTTTGGAGATCAATGTACAATCATGAAATCTACCAAAAATTTAGACAGCTTGATATTGTCGAGGTAATAAAAAGCCACAGGATTCGATGGTTGGGTCATTTATACAGAACTGAAGTCAGAAACCCAGTAAAACAACTCACATTTACCAAACCTATGGGAGCTACAAAGCAAGAAAGACCACCAATTAGAAGACTTGATGTTGTTGAGGATGACATTAATGCCATACATAGGGGAGACTGGAGGAGTATTGCCATGAATAGTTCCAGATGGCGTAGACTGATTGAGATGGCCTTGGCCAGCAGTAGGCTCTAGTGCCCCAGAAGAAAAAGAAAAAAATCACACTCAGTATAAGCAAATCTCTCTGAGTTTCACGCATTTATGAGTGTTAAAGGAGTTAAAAAAAAATTAGGGAAAACAAGTCTTTTGTCCATGTTCCTATGTATATAAAAATATGTATGGATGTATGCATGTTAATCAGAAGGACTATATATTGTTCAATGCACCCACGTCAAATATGGCATAAGTTCCATAGGAAATTTGCCATCAATACTATTGGAAAAATATTGGGGATGTCTCCCCAACCGCTTCTAAAACCAGGAGATATATTCTTAAAAATACTATACAACAAACACTGCTAGAACTGCCCTTAAATGCAAAGTAAATTGCAATCTAACAGATGTTGCATCTTTATTTTTAGAGTGAAGTTAATATAAAATATGAACATTACATTTAAATGCATTGCGTAGGATGCATCTAAATATTAGCCATTAATTTATGCCATTTAGGCATTTAGAGAAATTTACATTTTATGTAATATTGTGATTTAATTACAGTTTTAATTTTGAAGAATTTTGATTGAATTTAGAATCCAAAAAGAATGCTAAACGATTTTAAAACTTATAATGATCAGAATGGAAATCACAAAAATTGATTTGCATTCTGATCATTATAAATTTTAAAATCGTTTCAGAATGGAAATCACGAAGATTGATTTCCATTCTGACCATTAAACGATCAGTAAGTGGCTGTCACAAAAATTGTAATGAAAGCTAACGATATTGTGATTTTACGTCTGCAGTTGCATCTTTCTTGGTATTACCATACCCATGCTTTTAAATTCGGATGACTGTTCATAAGCTTTCAAGAAGAAAAATTCTAATTATTTGTGCTCATTAAAGATATACAAGATTAGTCTGAATATTTGCCTTCCCATTCACTTACTTTATAGAAAAGTTATTTATAATAATGAATTATTATATAATTTTTATTTATTGAAAAAGATAAGGAAATAAGTTTTATGCAATTATTAATTATAAGAAGACACTGATATATGGTTAATACCTTGTTATAATGACCTTTTATGTGCAAAAGAGGAAAGTATAACAAGGATGGATTAATATATTGTTACGGATTTGGTATTTAATTAGCTAATGTTAGTTCAATTATAAATTAAATTGGTTTTGTTCCCTCGCGCAGTGCAGCGCATGACAAATATTAAAGGAAAGCTAAGCCGGAAAAATTGAAAATACAAGAGCGCGTGCATAAATAATAAATAAATATCTCTTTTTGATTTCGAGAAAGTACTGGAAAATTCTAGCGCGTGATTTTAAAATCTTATAAAGGAGGAAAACATCTCAGTTTGTAGTAGTTGCTTAGTTTGTTGTTGTTTAGAAAACTACTGTTGTGATTGTAGCGAATTCGCGGATTCGGATTAGCGTTCTTTAGCTGTTTTGAATACGTTCTATTGGATATTTGAGTAGTTAAAAGATAACTACTGTGAGATATTGTAAAACTGAAATGAATAATCTGAGGGAATTTAAGCATTGTTGTGATAATAATAAATTTTTGTTCATTTTTCATCGGACTTGTGCATTTCATTTCGTAACGAACCCGTACGCACGCAACAATTTTGGTGTCAGGAGTGGGGTTTTGAATGCCAATAACAAGAGCGATGGAAGAACAATTGAGACAGCTCATTAGTGCTTTTGCTGCATTCCAAGAAAAGATGGAAAGCTGGACAAGCATCATTTAAATAAGAAGTGAAAGAAAAGATGGTTACTGGTCAGAAAAAAATGAGGATTCTGTTAAAGAGGAGAATGAAGGACTCTGTTAAATCAGAAATGAAACGTGACAGGAATCCGTTGGATGGTAGTCAGGAAGAAATGAAAATTGGGACAAGGAATCCGTTAAGGAAGAGAAATGAAATTGGGCCAGGAATCCGTTAAGGACGAAATGAAAGCCGTTCAAGCAGGTCAAGACGAAATGAAAAGATAAATTGCCTGCATAATAGAAAATAAATTTGAGGCTATGGAAGGCAGAATTGACGCAGTTGAAAGTTGGACATATTGAAGAAAGAGTTTCTTCGGTGAAAGAAGAAATAGAAGAAAGAGTTTCTTCTGTAAAAGAACAAATTGATGAGAGAGTTTCTGCAGTTGCCAAAGAAATGGATACTTTAAAGAAATTCGTAGCGTCGGCAGGGAGCAGGAGTGATGATTTTAAATTCTTACCGATGCCTGCTCGTCCACATCTGAAGCTATCCACACATATGATGGGAAGACCTCCTGGCAGGTGTATAAGATAAACAATTTTCTATCGTGGCGGATGCGAATGGATGGGATTCCCAAGCTAAGGCCTGTCATCTCGCCGCTTCTCTAAGAGTCGACGCAGCGGATATCCTTCAGACTCTTCCCGAAAACAAAAGGTTAGATTTCGAAGCTCTGTCCGGCGCCTTGGAGTTGCGCTTTGGGGAGAAGTGTTTTAAAAAGACTACAGCAGGCTCCAATTAAAATCTCGTCAACAGAAGCCTACCGAAACACTTCAGGAGCTCGCCGCGGATGTTGAAAGGCTGTCCCATCTCGCCTTTTCGGAATGCCCGACAGAAACAAGGGAAATCCTGTCCTTGCAATACTTTATCGACGGCATCCGAGATACTGAAATACAGAAAGCTCTACGAATGGCGGATGTATGTAAAAGATTTAAAAAAGCGCTCTGTTGTACGCCATGAAGTTCGAGGCAGCCCAGCAAGCAACTAGTAGAGATCGCTACCCAGTTAGAGCTGTGCGAGTCCATGAGCCAGTGGATCAACTGATGGCTCGTTAGTTTAGATGATTTAGCCAGACAAGTCGAAGATTTGATACGGAGTAGGAGCGAGAAGAAAGTGGCTCTAAGGGTGTTGGAGATGTGGTAGTGAAGGTCACCTAATAAGACGGAATTGCAGAACTCCCCAGGGTACGGAATATAAAGCAGATGATTTTACCAGACAAGTCAGTGGCTTGAGACGGAACAGAAGTGAAAGAAAACTAATTCTAAAGTGCTGGAACTGCGGAGTTGAAGGCCACATACGAAAGAAGAAACTGACAGAACACCCCGAGGTAAGGAAAATAAGACCATTTCCCAGCAACAACGCAGTAGTAAACAAATAGTGACCATATCGAGGAACGGAGGTTGCCAGATAGTGAAAAACCTTGTTTTAAAGCTCTTAAAATTTATACAGTGAGTGGCAACAATAACGGACTGTCCATCAATGGAATATCGATGGAGTTCCTTGCAGAATGATCATTGACACAGGAGCTAATGTTACCATCATTAGGAAAGATTTAGCTGAACAGTTTAAAGATAAACTTATTTGGACGCCATCCTGTGTTACCCTTCAGACTGCGTCTGGTGACAAGATCGACATAATTGGGAAGTTAAACGTAAACATCACGTTTGGAAGTGCCGCCTACCATCACACGGCATATGTGGCGGATATTACAGATCCATGCATACTCGGATTGGACTTTTTAAGGAAATACAATTTTTCCTTAGACTTGAAAAACAACAAACTGCTTTCAGGATCTGAAGACATGACTATCCATCCTAAGAAGGGATCCTCACCTGGAAATGCCGACGCTTTGTCCGAAAGAACTAGCTCGAGAAACAGCCGAAATCATGCTAGGGTCGAAAGAAAACACCAGACTACCAGCTATTCTCCATCCCAGAAGCTCTTCGGTCGAGACCTTCGTCTGCCTTGTGACCGCCTGTTTAGTCGCCATACGGATGCGCCTTCGCGCCTGAAGAACACGTCCAAGATGCCAGGCCCGGTTTGAAGGGATGCACCGTTCTGCACGAAGCGAGTCAACTTGGGACGAGAGAGAAAATGAAGATCAGATGCGACACAAGGAGCTACTAGACAGAGATCCAACAAAGGAGACAAGGTGTGGTTGTGGAAATCCGATTCGATGAAAAGGACTCAGGTCCTAAATTACAGTCACCATTGGGATGGTCACCACACAGTCCTAAACAGGCTGAATGACGTCGTGGTTCGGATCCGTGAGTCTTCGAACTCTTACGACAGGTTAGTATTACTATGGCCATAGTACATAATGTAAATAACTGTAAATAGTATAAGACCATGGTCCATTTTGTTTTAAATGTGTATTTGATTTGTATTTGATAGCATTTGATTTGTTTTATGTATTGCATTTATTGTTCATGTTGTTTATAATTGTAATGTAATGCTTATTAATGCATTTATGCCACAGTTGTAAGTTTAGCTTCCTGTCCAGGGATTGTACTGCCCGGGACGTGCAGTCCTTGGGAAGGGGGCCGTGTTACGAATTTGGTATTTAAAAAGCTAATGTTAGTTTCAATTAGAAATTAAATGGTTTTATTTCTCGCGCAGTGCAGCGCGTGACAATATTAAAAGAAAGCTAAGCCGGAAAATTGAAAATACAAGAGCGCGTGCATAAATAAATAAATATCTCTTTTTGATTTCGAGAAAGTACTGGAAAATTCTAGCGCGTGATTTTAAAATCTTATAAAAGGAGGAAAACATCTCAGTTTGTAGTAGTTGCTTAGTTTGTTGTTGTTTAGAAAACTACTGTTGTTGATTGTAGCGAATTCGCGGATTAGCGTTCTTTAGCTGTTTGAATTACGTTCTACTGGATATTTGAGTAGTTAAAAGATAACTACTGTGAGATATTGTAATACTGCATGATAATTGAAAAAATTAAGCATTTTGTTGTGATAATAATAAATTTTTGTTCATTTTTCATCGGACTTGTGCATTCATTTCATAACGAACCCGTACGCACGCAACAATATTATCATCATTTGGGAACTTCTTGAAGCAATTGTTACAGTGGAATAGTCACCATGATAAGCAGTTGTTATACAAGTGAGGACTGTATCATGAAGTGTTTAGAATATTTCAATGGTTTTAGGAATCAGCCTGGTGAATGTTGTAATTTTTTTTTAATTGATTTTGAAAAGTGGTTTTTTACTGTGTCTGATAAAAAAATTGTTTTTTTTTTTTTTCGTTTGCTAGATTTTCTCAGTATGCTAAAAAATAAGATGCAAAGTACGATCACAGGGTTCGTAGCGGTCCTTATAAGTGCTTATAAGTTCTTATATTTGAAAATAAAATATAAAGGCCCTTATAGGTGCTTACTTTTTCTTTAAAGCCCTATTTTTTTTTTGTTTTTAGTGCTCATTTTTTGCTTTTAGTGCTTTTTTTTTAATCCTTAATGAATGCGCATTTTTTCCCCGTACCAAAGCCGAAACTAAATAAACAACTTTTCTTCCTTATGTGCAACGTCAGATGGTGAATCATACTCCCGAAAATTGCTTTCCCCCCCCTTCCTCTGCATAAACGTAACCTATGGTGTGCGCGAGAGTACAGACAGGTGCACGTCATTCTATTGGCCAAAGAATTGCAAAAGGTGCACGTCGTTCTATTGGCCAAAGAATTACGAAAACGTAGAAAATTCCGGTACATCGGTATTCTTTCCTCCACCCAAATACTACACACGTTAGAATTTCTATCAAGATTTTAATAAATTGCATTCTCATTCCGCGGGTCAGTTCATATTCGTGTTTATTATGATCGTTGTTATGCTTATGTTATGAGCATATGTATGAATATTTATAATAATATAATTGCAGTAACTGCTGAAGTATTGATAAACTTCCAAAAATGGGTGTGTTTTTACACAGATTAGCTTTCTAAGGAATAATATTCGGAATGGCTTAAATAAAAGGAAAGTAATCGAATAGTCAAAATAATTTCATTTTCTTTGCCAATACATTATACAGTACGGAGGTTGGGAGTTTCTCCGCAAAATCTCTAATATTGGAGCAGCGGACTTTTTTTTTGTCACTGTCCAATCTGGATTGAATAGGACCAAAAGTTTTTCCGGTCTACCCAACTCAAGGGAAGATTGATTCTATTCCGGAAATTTAATACAGTCTGTTGAAAATTAGAATCAGAAACACCCCATATTAGTAAGTCTCTTTCTTTTCCTTTATTTAGTTCTTTCTCCGAATACCGGCAGGTGTTGATTCCGATTGCGTAATATCACATATGGAAGAATTACGCCGCACGTATTGCGAAATAACGTTTGCGGTATTTTGCATTGGTAATTAATTTTGATGTTCAATCTGAGATTTGTTTATGAACACTTAAAAGAGTTTTACTGTGCTTTCTAAGCAGAATATTTCTCAGTTCCGTTGGTTTTTATATGATGCACATATCGAAATGTCAAAATCATTTATTTAGCCTAAATTTAAATCTAAAGAACGGTTACAATCTCCCCCACTCCTCTTTTTCCAGTTACTATCCGGAAAATTCGGGAATTTCCGAGTATGCTGGTTAGTTAAGCTTTTACTGTTAAAGGATGACTGAATGAAGCAATTTCCCGTCTTCTGATTTCAGAAATGTGCCTCTTTTTTACTTAAATTACTTTGCTTGGAATATACATGTTAAGAGAAAACTGTTATGCAATGAAAATTTAGAAAATGTTCAGAATTTTGATTTAAGTTAAATTATTTAAATGTTAATATGAGTGGAAAAATAAATTTTATTTATTATTAGGTGCCGAACGAATACAATTAATGTAGCTTATTATTATTTATTTTCTATATTTTCAACTGAAATATCATTAAGTTTTGTAATAAAGTTTATTTCTGCATAGTTTTTTTTTTTTTTTTTTTTTTTTTTTTTCCTCTCATTGTAAACTAATTCTGTAAATTGAACTGTCATTTAAAATTTTAAAAAAAAGTTAATTGTTTTCCATTGTTGGGGTAATGCTCATTCTCTTAATAAATATTGCATTGCTCATATTTTAAATTACAAGTCTAATTTTTCTTTTAAGGTTATGCAGGTGTGTATAATGTAATTAGACAGGTGCTTATTTTTTTCTTAAAATGTGCTTGAAAAGTGCTTATAGGTGCTTATTTTTTTAACTAAAATGTGGCTATGAACCCTGGATCAGTTGTTATGAAAGTCTAAGCAATAAGAATCTATCCTAAGTCTAAGCAGTAGGAATAATATTAAAATAACTAGGGCAATGAAGTACAAAATTTGTGCCTAGAATTATTCTGTGATTTAGTTACTACAAGCATTCAAAAGGAATCTTGCAGCAATCAGAAATCGTGCTAAAAGTTTTAAGATTTAAATGATCCAGCTAGAAGTCAGTAAGATCGTAATGACAGTTTTAAAATTATTACATTTTGAGCAAGTAATAGTCCCAGTGGAGGATAATCTCTTGCACGTGCACACAAAGGTATTAATGTGACCGTTTCAGGTACTATCATTAGCACTATTTTAGTCTCTCAGTTGAAACTGTGTTACACTTTTAAGCATGTAATAAAATTGCCTTGTTAGTTGTTAGCATTTGGGTATTAATTTGCTATTTTATTATTATTTTACTTTTTATTACTTAATTTTGTGAACTATAATTTTAATAATATGTGAAAGCAATTCTTTTAATTTTTAATAATGTTTTTAAATTTAATCTATATTTACGAATTTTTAGGGGTTTATTGCATCAATTTCACCTTTTAATTTCACAGCCATTGGGGGGAATCTTGCTTCTGGCCCCACCTTGATGGTAAGTTTATCACTAATGTGACTTCTAAAATTACTTCATATCAGTTTTATTAGAGCACTGTTATACAATTTTTTTGCGATATTTCTTAATGTAGGGAAATGTGGTACTTTGGAAGCCATCTGATACTGCTCTTCTCTCTAACTATACTATTTTTAAGCTGCTCAGAGAGGCGGGTTTTCCTCCTGGTGTTATAAATTTTATTCCATCTGATGGTCCAGTTTTTGGTGAAGTTGTCACAACATCACCTCATCTTGCTGGAATAAATTTTACTGGTAGTTTAAGGTAAGTTAACCAGATTATTACATATATATATATATGTGTATGTTATGTAATGTATAATTTTTCAATTAAAAGTTTCCCAGTTTCTTTTTGTACTTTTGCTCATAATTTATAATATTTGTGTGTGGGTGTGTGTGCACGTTTTAAAATACCATCTTTTTCAATCTATATATTTATGTTTGATATTTTTGATTCTATAAAGAGAGCTGATTATAGAAGGAGCCATTTGTTTCATATTTGTATCTGGGATTGCGATAGATAGCTTGAAATTGCTGCATATACACTGAAGTAACAAAAGTCGTGGGATAGCAATATGCAAATATACAGATGACAGTAGTATCGTGTAGAAAATATATAAATGCAAAGTGCTTTTGCAGGGCTTTCATTTGTGCTCAAGTTATTCATGTGAAGAGGCTTTGACGTGATTATGGCCGCACAACGAGAATTAACAGACTTTGAACGCGGAATGGTAGTTGGAGCTAGACGCATGGGTCATTCCATTTCGGATATCGTTAGGAAATTCAACATTCCGATATCCACAGTGTCAAGAGTGTGCCGAGAGTATCTAATTTCAGGCATAACATCCCACCATGGACAGCGCAGTGGCCGACCTCCTGCACTTAACGACCGAGACCAGCGACTTCTGCATAGAGTTGTCAATGTTCACAGACAAGCAACACTGCGTCAAATAACCGCAGAAATTGATGTGGGACGTACGAGAGACGTGTCCGATAGGACAGTGTGACGAAATTTGTCTTCCTTGGGCTATGCCAGCAGAAGACCGGCTCAAGTACCTTTACTGACAGCACATCACCACCTTCAGTGACACTCGTGGGCTCGTGAGTATATCGGTTGGTCCCTAAACGAATGGAAAACCGTGGCTTGGTCAAATGAGTCACGATTTCAGTTGGTAAGAGCTGATGGTAGGGTTCGAGTGTGGCGCAGACCCCGCGAAGCCATGGACCCAAGTTGTCAACAAGGCACTGTTCAAGCTGGTGGTGGTTCCACAATGGTCTGGGCTGTTTTTACATGGCATGGACTCGGTCCTCTGGTGCAACTGAACCGATCATTGACTGGGAATGGATATCTTCAGCTACTTGGAGATCACTTGCAGCCATTCATGGACTTCACGTACTCAAACAACGATGGGATTTTTATGGATGACAATGTGCAATGTCACCGGGCCACAATTGTTCGCGATTAGTTAGAAGAACATTCTGGATAATTCCAGCGAATGATCTGGCCACCTAGATCAACATGAATCCCATCGAACATTTATGAGACATCATCAAGAGGTCAGTTCGTGCCCAAAACCTTGCACCGTCAACACTTTCACAATTATGGACGTCTATAGAGGCAGCATGGCTCAATATTCCTGCAGGGGACTTCCAACGACTGTTGAGTCCATGCCACGTTGAGTTGCTGCACTTCGCAAAAGGAGGACCGACAAATATTAGGAGGTATTCCATGACTTTTGTCACTTCAGTGCATAACTACAACTTTGGAAAAACACAACTAGTTTGATAATTAACACATTTTATTTCCATACTGCAAATTTCTTAGCATATATCGTATTGATTGGTACAACTCTAGGGGTGCTAATTACATTGTTGCCTTAGATGAAGCTGCAGAGTGTTAATTATGTGTCTGCATGGTGTGACAATGGGAGAAAAAGGATGCATATCAAGCAGCTGAAGTATTTATGAGGTCAGAATGCATTGTTTGAATCCTCAACAGCATTTGGGGAAGAGCTTATAGTAGCATGAATTATTGCAGAAGTGATGCATAAAGTCTTTGAAGGGGATTGTATTCCTCGAGTGCATGCTTTGGCTCCAGGGGACCTGCTTGATTCAACAAACCTCTCTCAAAACATGCCTGTTTCACCCAAGTTGTTGAAGTTCATTATAGTTGCATCAAAGGTCACCTTCTTTATGTTTCTGATGTTTTTTGCTGGGGCTTTGATTCAAAGTCTTGTTTTTGATTGTATCAATTTTTTTTTAAACTCAGTGTGCCTGTTTACATTGCTATGACGTGGTTGATTTGTGGGAGTACAGAAAGAGGCAAGGATCTTGCATAATTTACCGTACAAGGAAAAAATGTTGCATTTGCAAAAATTTTTAGGTATCAATTGGCAAAGAATCTATTGAAGAAAATGAGAATAGAGTGATCATGAAATTTTAGTTCACATGATGCCGATTCAGAAGCCCACATGGATCCGGAAAACAAAAATGAGAGTTTTATTGGCAGAAAAATGGTCAAAAGAAAAGCCTAAAGCTAATGTTAGAACTCCTGCTTATATCATTACTAAATTGCTGGAAAACATTGGTAAAGCAAAAAATGTACAGATTCCAAATGAATTGTCGGAACATTTGCTAAGTAAAGAAATGTTGCTGAAAGTCATCAGTTATACGAATATTTATATTACATCTATTACTGACAATTTTCAAAGAGATGGAGATGCTCATCATACAGCTCTAATTGAAATTCACACATTTATAGGCCTTTTATATTTTTATGGTGTGCATATGTCATCTCATGTATGAAAACGGATTGGAAATATTTTTACAAAGCTATGTCCTACGAGCACTATTTTATCAATATTTGTGTTTTGATGACATAGGAACTCATTTTATCAGGCAGGAAACAGATAAACTTGTGCCAATAAGAACATTTTTTAAAGATTCTTTGAATAATTGCTGGAAATGTTCCACTGTAGGTGAGTATATAACAATTGTTACGTTAGATAACTAGTATAAGAGCTTTAATCTTGCAAAACATCTGCTTTAAAAAAAGCTAACTGTTGTCAGAACAATTAGAAAAAGCAAAAGAGAATTACTTTATTTTCAGTAAAATATCGAGAAGTGTTTTCATCAATTTTAGTTTTAAAAATGATACAATTTCGCCCCCTCCCTAAAAAAAATAAATGCGTCTGTGGTAAAGTTTATTTCGTTGGTTGTGGTGGCAAAAGTATGTCACATGTTATGATAAACAGGAATATAGTGGCAACTTACCCCAGGACAAGATCCAGGTCTATAGCCCGCCGTGACGAGAGAGTGACAAACACGTGAAAACAGATTTAATTCTTACTTGATTGAATACTAACAATGCTGAAGAGATATTCTTTTTTTTGAATCTGTTGTGTCAAATGGTGATATGAGGCCTCCTCACTCAGAAAAAAAGATAGATCAATTCTTCCACAGAGCCCTTTGAAGACTTGGTATATTTCAGCTCAATCACATGCAGGTACTCTTCATCGGGATGCCGTGCGAAAATGCCAAGCCCGGGGGGAAAAAAAGAGAATAGCTTAAATTTTGTAGCTACAGCATCAAAGAGAAAGAAAACTCGCTTCCTTCGTACACACTGGAAGACCAAGAAAGCTTGCACGATAAATTCCAAAAGTTTGCATTTCACTCCCACTCTTACCGTCTTTCTCCATGCAGCATCTCCATCTCGCACCTTCACAATCTCCTCCTCCTCCCTCTGGTGAACAAAAATTACCGCCTTTTATAAAGTTCCACAGTTACACTCACAAAGTTTTGCAGCCAATGAAAAAAATTCAGCGTCAGAGGCCAACCAATCGCAAAATACCTTCAGCTATACAGGCAAACAGAAGTGAAGTGGCTAGTTGTCTGATGCAGTACTTTCCTCCACTTACAACAGTTGTCTGATGAAATACTTTCCTCCACTTACAACAGTTGTCTGATGAAATCTGTTCCTCACCTTACAGCACAAGTTGGTGAAAAAAGGAAACTGTCACTAATGGAATCTGATATAAATATCTAAATATTGCCATAATGTAGTAAGTAATTAATTCAATAATTAATGATGCAATCAGTGTGAAACAGTCAAATAGAAGAAGCCTGAAATTGTAACATTTTACAGCTTTACGAAAGAAGCTGTAGAGCTAGTTGACAAAATATCAGCATAGTATTGTACATCTAAAATCTCTAAAAGGTGGCCTGTAGCAATGTTCCCCTACCCTTCTTTTAAACATCGCTGCAATAAATGCGAGGATAGTCCTTTTACCTTTCAAAAGTGCTCCAAAGCCATACAAAAGTGGGCATTTGTTTCTCAAATCTTTCATATTGAGCCTCATCGAGGATCAAACAAAATTTCATTTTTTAAAAACAATCTCTTCCAAAAGAACTTCTACTAAAAAGTCATGCTAGTTCGAAAAGTAATGATGATGATTAATCAGTACAAAATATATATCAGGTGTGGGAGATGCTGTGAGTGTTCTGCTAACATTTGTTGCTGCATTTTTGCTCTGTGTCTATAGTGCTAATAAAGAAAATAAACAATCAGTATAGAGTAAAGGTGCATAATTTTTTTTGATAATGTAAAATGCATTTTTCTATTCCTTTAAGAAATTTTATATCATAAAAAAACATTTGGAGAAATTAAAAATTTTAATAAATGTACTTTATAAAATTTATTGTTGCCACAGGAGTAACACTTTTACCTGAAAATTTACAATTTTTTCTTAAAATAAGAAATTGGAGATGCATTTTATTAGTGATAGTGTTTAATTACTTATTCTTAAAAAGAAAACAAACAGTTGTTACAGCAAATACATTTTTGAATAAAAAAGGAATTCGAGTCCTGGAATGGGCTAGTTATTAAAAATTAAACTTTTGCATTATTTTCGTGTGGCCAGATTTTACATGTAATAGATTAATGTGGTAAATCCACAATAACAAAAGTGCGACGGGAAAGGACTTTGTTGGCCAGACAATAAAGTTACAAGTACAGAACATGTGTATATTGAAACTGTTATTTGTAAGCTATTTAGAATGGTATTTATCATTTACTTAAACTAAATTTTGGTTATGCAGTTTATTGTCTTTGTTGAGTTTCATTCTTTTCCTGAATTGATACATTCACTGTAGTTACATATCCAATTATATCTTATGTCACTTCAAAGCTATCAAACACCTGTTGACTTATGTTTTATTGTGTAACTTTGTTTCAGTATATCAGTTTTAACTTCTTTTTAATACTTAACGCATATCTCAGTTGATTGTATAATTATGTTTTATCAGAACTTGTGATATGTATTATGCATATTACTTTTTTTAACTTTCTCAGTTACATATTTTTAAATGTATCTCTTGAACATATCATTTTAGGACTTTCAGATTATTATGGAAGTTAACAGCACACTGCATTGATACTTACAGAAATTTTCCTCGTCTTGTTGGAGGTATTAATATATTTATTTTTGGAATATAACAATAATTTTTTTATTTTCAAAAGTTTTAAAAACCCTCTTGGTAATATTACCTTATTTTTCAAATTTAGTAATTTTTATTTAAAACTTTAAAACATTTTGGAGCATAAATAATTTTTACTGAAAACATAGAAGTTTGGACTTAGCTTTTTAACTTCTTTTAACCCTCTGAGCGTTACAGGATTTTAGATCTGTTATGAAGATCGGTATTTAAACAGCATTTATTAATTGAGTTTGCGTAATTACTTATTTTTGTCTGTATTTTCACAAACTTACATTCATTAAGATGATATTTGCATAATTAAAGCAAAATATCTTAAATTATAAGCTAATATATGCCAAGTAGCAAAACTTCTGATGACCAGATAAAGCCGGTCATAACGCTCAGAGGGTTAAAATATTATTTAAAACACATTTCTAAAGAATGTTATATTGTAAGTGTAGTGAATTATTTGAACTGCTTTTATATAGAATATGTTTTATAAAGCAATGTCTATAGCAAAATGTAAAAGTTGGAGTTCAGATTTTGAAAATGAAGATTGTATGCCACTATATTGCATTTTAGATAACAATTAGTGTACTGTATTTTAAGATAGTTAGTCGCTAATTCATTATTCAATTAGGTTTACCTTTTAGAATAAACAAGGTATGGCTGCATTGACTGCCTTATGTAGAACCTGATTAGCATGTAGTTTTAAAAGATTTTAATTTGGAGGAGGGATTGCTTACGAGTTGGCTTTATATTTATTTATGTTTAGATAATTAAACAATTGCACAAAATTAATTTAGTGGAAAGGCTAAGAAGATAACTTTTCTTTTAACATTAATTAAAAAATAAGCATTACAGCTTACTGAAAACCATTATTGGACACTTTACAAACAAGATCTGTTTTCAGCTCTGCGTACTGAACTGTGATTATGTATTTTGTCTTGTTATAAATAAGGGTTATTTTCTGTTCCTAGAATGTGGAGGGAAGAACTTCCATTTTGTTCATAAATCTGCTGATATTCAGACAGTTGTGTCTTCCTCAATAAGGTCTGCATTCGAATATAGCGGTCAGAAATGTTCTGCCTTAGATAGAATGTATGTTCCTGAAAGTTTATGGCCTCAGGTATCAAGCAAATTTTTATATTGTTTTATTTTAATTTATAGTATGAAGAATTAATTTAATTTTCATGAAGTTATTTCTGAATTCAAATGAAGTTTCTTTTAAATGATGTCCATAATTTAAATTATGTCATTGAAATGATAAAGATGTTTTAAATAAAATATGACATTTATGACAGACATAAAGCATTTACTGTATAATTTAACAAAAACTTATTTTAAGAATAATATTAAAATGAATAAAGAATTAATGAAGAAATTAATAAAATCAATAAAGAATGAATGAGAAGAATAATTAATGAAGGTATTTAAAGAGAAAATAGTTTTCCAGCTCTTCCTTAATTTCTTTTCAACCTTAATGGCAGTTTGAAAGGGAATTTGTGTTTAATATTTAGCCTTTTTTAGTAATTCTTTAATTTTGCAAACTTTGTAAGTCATGTCCTTGTTTTCAAATATAAAGATTTAACTTTGATCAGAAAAATCCTACTTGCTATTATCTGATTTGTTACTGAGTGGATATGTATAATTCTGTCTCACTAGTGTGGTGTTTTTAACCCTCCTGTACAATAGCAATTTAGAATTAGTATTGTTAGGGTGCAACAGTGATTGATATAAGTGTTTTTGTTAATAATATAAAAATGGCTAGTTTTAAAAAGCACATAATTCAAAGAAATTTTGCTACCTTTGAATATGCAGTTAGTTTTCTTGTGTTTAAAGTTACTAATTTTGATTGGTTTGTAGTTCTGAGTCTTCCATTTTGTTGTTCCAGTTTGTTGTTCCATTGCTTTCAATGGAACAAAAGTGCCATTTGTTACATATTTGATTTTGAAGTAAATAGCTGCTTGGAGTTGTTATAAAGAATCTCGCCTAAGATATTCCAACTGAAGAGTTGAAGAAGGCTTTTGAAGAGTATAATATTCCACTTAGAATATTTACTAGCTGACATGCATGAAACATGGTCATTGGATAAAAAAATCCCATCTGCTATGTTGAGACTAAAGAAAATGAAGGCAAGAAGATATACAGTCTAACAAACTATTGCATGTCATTGTTTGTCATCATGGTCAAAATTATGGCTAAACCAAAAATTACTGCTATTAGCAGCTGAGATATCTTAACTGCTTTGAAGATAACTTTTTGCTTGTTCTTCCTATAGTTTCATCTTTGTATTCATTAGAAATGTCACTGATATCTGTTTTATCCTTCTAGCAATCATTATATCATTAGTATACTTTGCCCTTTTAATTTTGTTCATTAATCTCTTTCGGCTTTCTGATTGTCCCTGTATAATGTGTTTTTCTGTGAGCATGTTGTGTGTAACAGAAAAACATGCTTTCATATTTGTTATGCACAACATGAAATGGCCAAAGTAATAGCAGAGAACCTGGAAATTCAGTTCACTGCTGTTTATCAAAACAGAGACATCTGATTTACTGAAGAAACATGTTATTGTAAGAAACTTCCCTAAAGATTCCTTTTGAACTAAATTTAATTTTACTATTTCAAGTGAAGTTATGTTAAAAACCTTTGCACCAGGAAGGCAAATTGACTTATAAAATCCTAAACAAGGCTCTAAGACTTACAAAAATACCATAGTTTCTGTTTGCAGTTTAAACAAAGCCTGCTTTCAGTTGAAATATTTTCCAGCTTATAGAAGATTCCAAAAATCCTGTAATTTCTATAAGCTATAGTTCTTTCAGCCTGCTTCCAGTTGTGTGGAAACTTTTTGAGAAACTCATTTTTAAACAAGGGAATGCTGTTATCACTGAAAAGAATATCATTTCCTAGTATCAGTTTGACTTCTGATTTGGTCATTTGACAAATCATCAAATTCTTCGTGTAGAGTAGACTTTAAGGTACCCCTTGTATTATGGCGAAGTTGTTGTTTGATTTATCGCCAAGTTGTTGTTTCATTTATGGTAGCCTGAGTGTTTGAATGTTATGGAAACCTTATTGTGACGTAATCGGGTGCATGATTCTGAGAAATTTTGAATCGTGGGATGTTTTGTAAGCGTTTTTGTGGTGTGTGTTAAAACCTTTTAGTTGGATTTGAATAGGTTTGTAGGAAGAAAGGCTCAGATTGTCACTATGTGAAGCATTCTATCAGAAAGAGTACCTGGTTTGAAAAAAGTCATTTGAGTATGATTGATATTTTCATTTTTACGTGGCTCTGGGTGTACGAAGCGAACTCGAAAATCATGGTAAGTGAATATTTGCTTTTGGTAGTGCTTAAATGTATAACATGTTTTTCGTTTTTTATGTTATTGTATTGTTTGGTTTAAAATGTATTTTATTGAGATTATGTGTTTTTTGTTTGCCTATGTTGTAGACTTTGGTGGTCCTTTGACTTTTTAAGTGAAAGTATATCGATGTGTACATGGACAAAGTAAAGGGAGTGTGCAATGCAAGTTTGTGCAATTCTGGGATTTTTTTTAAGTGAAAATTGTTTGACCGTGTACATGGATGAAGTTAAAAGAGTGCGCAATGCCATTTTTGCGCAATTCTATGGGTTTTTTTTTAAGTGAAAATAAGTTGATGTGTACATGGATACCGAGTTTGTGCAATTGTTTGCTTGTTATTTTGGCTTTGTGTAGCGGCGATTTTTGGCGCAAAAATTGCCGCTTCGCAAGCCAAAATAACGAGTCAAAGAATTGCACAAAATCGTATCCATGTACCGCCCAAAATCGCCAAGGGATTCCCTAAACTATACTTTTACCAATGTTTCTTGTTGCAGAAAACATCCATGAAAAACTTAATGCAATAGTAACTTGCTTTCTTGGTTTTGAGAAAGCTCTCAAAAGAATTTCTTGTTTAAATTGATGTGTTGGATTGTTGCAAATAAAATGTCTGTTCTAGGTATGTCATTTTCAAAGCCTCAAAAAATTAATATCTAGTGATGAAAGTAGTTGCTGTCTGTAACCACACACTTTTGACATCACTCAGCCAACAACAGCTGGATGCCATGGTGAATGAAATCTGGAGTTTGCAACTTGAAAAAGTCCTCAACTGCATGTTGTTTTCCTTGAGCGTGGGAGAAGTTTCCCTTATTAGAAGAGGTGGGTTGGCAGTGGGTGAGGAGATGTTTCATATTGAAACTCGTAGAGAGCCTGCAATGTTTTGTGCTTGGCATGCGAATGTTCTTAAGCAATATAAGAACACCATGTCTGATGACCGTTGCTGGATGCTTGTGGACATTTTATGGAGTTTAGCACTTCAGTGATTACAATGATGATTTCACCTTGTCCGAAAAAGACATAAAGTATCACTTCTTCCAAAGAATGTTATATGAGTAATAGTACTTTTCTGTTGGTGCAAAAAGGGGTTTAGGGAACTGTCTTGGATGTTGATCAAGATCCATCCGTTGTCCTGACTTTTTAAAATTTTCATAACAGATCCATTTTTTAGTACTTTTCCGTTTTGCCGGCGCATACAATAAAGTCGCCAGTATTGGTACAACCAATACCAAACAGAATATCCTTGCTGGTAGCCCCTTAACGCCTCCTTTTCAAAACAAGTCGCAGCCATTTCTTCTCAGATTGATTGTTTCTTTCAAGACTGGCATACAATTACATAGAATTTTTACCAGATAGTTCAATTTTATACCCTAGGGTTGTTTGCGATAATTAAGTCAATTAGGATGCAATTACACCGCTCACTAGAAGGCGAAAATGTAGAAAAGGCAAACTCAAGGGTTAAATTCATCAATTCTAATAAGAATGCACTAGCAAGAAGCACTGATATTTTACATAATTTCTGAGTAAGCTATTCGTACGAATTGAAATAATTCTTGCATTAAAACTTGTATTCCAAATTAAGATTTAAGTTGAAATTAATGTAGATAATTACTGAGAGAATTAGATTTTTGTAGCGTAGTTGACGTGATGGGGTCATGTGATATGAACCGGCAAATTAAAATGTTGAAACATGAAAGTACATAGTAAAATAATAAATTCTTAAATTAATGCCTTTTTATAAATTTATTATCTTTATTTATTGGCTTTTTACAAAATTTTAAATATTAAAATGTTATGCTTTCAAAATAAAAAATTCTTAAAAGTAACATTTGTTAAAATTTTTCATGTGTATATTGTTTGTTGTAGCCAATAAAGTTTGCTTAGTGAGATTTGCGTCAGTGAAATGGAAATGTACCTATTTTTTTTTTATCTTGGAGTGACATTCTGATAGAGGAAACTTTCCTGATTATTCCGTACATTCAGACTTGTGTATTCCTCCAGACAACAAATCAGGCTGGCATGTGTCAACTCTTGCAGTACACATGAATTCGATTTTTGTACTTTACTGATTGGATAGAGATACTAAACAGTAGTATATCTATGGTGTATGGCTCTGATGAAGTTGCATTAATTTAAGTCTGGAGGTTTTGAATTCTTATAATATCATGAAAACTTCAGAGAGATTGCATCACATTCTATTGGTGGCAGGATTCCTTGCCAACGTAGTTCTAACCCAAGCAAGTAATGTCATGAAATAGGAACTCATTTCAATTCTTTTTGTCAGAGAAGCTCATCTAAATCTAATTGTTAATTATTGTCCACAGGACCCATTTTCCAGTAATGTGTTAAAAGAATAAAATTTCACAAACCAGTGGGTAGTAGCGTATTCATTTAACATTTACAGTCCAAATGCACTTTTAATTCTCCCTAGCTTGTTATGGCCCATTTTAAATTTGTAAAGGAAAACCACTTGCATTTTTATGTTCTCCGTGGTACTCTTTCAACAATGAACTTTTCCTGACTGTTCACATTTCTGTGTCTGTTTACTTAATATCCAGAGAGTTTGTGTCATTTGATATATGATCTTAGTGTATTGCTGTGTTGTGTTGCTTAGAAGAGTTTTTACCAGACAACAAAGACATTCCATTTTCACAAATGCAATATTTTCAAACTATGCATATTGTCTTCATAAAAAATTAGATTTCTGTGTGTACAAGTAAAATTCATTTTCTCAAAAGACTGTTTCCTGTTATATAAATATTAATTTAAAAATTTTGATGCCAAAAATTGTATATTATTTTTTTGGTAGATTAAGAAAGGGCTCCTTGAGATACGGGATCAGATCAAAGTAGGTTCTCCTCTGGATCCTGAAACTTTTGTATCAGCAGTCATTGATGACAGAGCATTTAAGAAGATTAAAAGTTTCATTGATCATGCTAAGTCTTCCTCAGATTTGACCATATTGGCTGGTGGGACTTGTGATGACAGGTGAGAAAATCTTATACTAATTTCTATGTATATCAGATAAAATTGATTTTTCAGTTTCTCTAAATGTGTTTTCTTATTATGATCATTCATTCTACTGTTGAGTTTTAACTTAATGAAGCTTTGCAAAATTGTGAAGGAATTTGTATTACAAACACGCTTCTCTTAGTCATCGATACTTTTTTTATGTACTCATTTGATATGCCAGCAGTCTGAATAATCTTGTGAGCTTTCATTTACCAGTGTCCTATATTGTCATCATGAACTTTTCCAATGATGTAGATTTTAGTGTCTTCATTTGGCTTTTTAATTTCAGTATATATTTGGTCATTTTAAAACTCATTTATCCAGTGATTAATGGTCTTCTATTCTATGGCACAACCACTGTAAACCTCATCCAACTCCATTTTGAGCAGTATGGGCTGGGCATCTGCTTCTTCAGATAATATTTTATCCCTTTATGTTTTCCCATCATTATTTTAACTGCTGTCGTACAAGTTTCTTTTGTCTAGAATTAAATGAAAACATCTCAGTATTGAATAAAATTTGGCCTGAGCTTGTCTGAAGAGTGACAGTAGCAATATAGTGTGTAATGACATTGAATTGTAAAACTCAATAAACATTTTTTTTAAATTTAGTGTGAATTTGTATATTTTAAAAATGTTTTTATTGTAATAATAATTTTTCTGTGCAAAAGAATTTTTAAAAGGTATTTTGAGATTTCTGTAATATATATGCTTTGCATTACTAATTTAATGAGTATGTATAAATGTTAAGAATACATTAAATATTATTCCATTTCTATGCTCAGAAGTATTATTCTGCTTAATGTTTTGCTTCTTTTCTATTTTTAGTAAAGGATATTTTATAGAACCAACAATTATTGAGACAAAAAATCCACTTGATTTAATAATGCAAGAAGAGATCTTTGGTCCATTATTGGTTGTCTATGTTTATAAGGATGCTGCTGTGCAGGAAGCTTTAGAACTTGTAAGAATAAATCAGTATGCTTTAACTGGTGCCATCTTTGCTCAAGACAGGTAATGAAAATCGATGTTTAGATAAACATGAATTCTTTCAATTTTTTTAAGCATTGATAAATAAATAACATTTACTGAAAGCAAAATTTGAATGTGTGTAAAATTTTTAAATTCTTTTACCAGTTAAATAATCTTATCCTTCCAAGAGAATGATTTTTTTAAGATTTTTATTATTTGTATTGACTTCTCTAAAGAAGAAAAAAATCTGAAAAAGTTTTCTCATATAATTAAATTTAATCTGTTGGATTGAAACAGAGAAATTTATTCGTAGAAAGAAGATTTCATTCTTTTTATAAATACTGTAACAAGACAGATCAATGCTCACTGTAAAAAAAGAGGTCTACTTACTAACTGCAGATCTCAAAGTGCACTTTGTTTTATTTGTAAGATACTCAACTAAGGTGGTAAGGGATCTAGGATCAAAACCTATTATCACATTCAGTAAAACTTTGCTAACAGTTAGCACCACAAGATAAGCATTTGCTAAATCCTGAAAGGATCTGTTCAGCTGATGCCTCTGACAGAAGTAAAACTTTTTTTTTTTTTTTTTTTTTTTTTTTTTTTTTTTTAATAATTTTGAATTACTTTCCAACAACACTGATGCAGTGCTTTCACTCGTGTCCTATAACGTATAAAAGTTTATCACAGACATGCTTCTCTATTCTGAGCCATAGCTGTTCAATGTGATTGTCATTCGCACCAAAATTTGAGTTGTATAATACTGTGCCCAAATTATAACTTCTCTCAGCATTAGTTGTGTTTTCCAGTATTATACTTTGAGATGCTGGGAGAGAAATGTGAAGCAGACCAACTCTTGCAGTAAGATCCATGTTCTCCCAGAACTTGAACTGCACTTTTTGCATCACAGTAAAATATTGAACTGCATTGAGAAGGATTTGAGAACAAAAGTTTGTTGTCTCTACCAGCTGTACTCACCATCATCAAAAGATGGCCTGAATAAACTCTCTCTCTCTTTTTACTTCCTTGTACGAAGTAAAAAAAGTATTGTAATCACGAAAAATTCTGAATATCTTATTTCAATGAAAATGTTCATTTTGACCACTATCGAATGCAATTTAAAGATGTTTTTGCATGACATCTGTACATAAGGAGAGAATAAAGTACTCTTTTCCCCAAACAAATTGTAAAATTGATTTAAAATGGATTCAGAAGAGTTTTTTTCATGCCGTCTGTACACACGTGCATGCATACCTATGTACGTATCTCGCATAATTCGAAAGTGAGTAGCCTCAGAAGGTTGAAATTTTGTATATAGGACTAATATAATATGTAATTGTGCGCCTCCCTTTTTGGTTGCAATTGGCTGCACCAAAAGTTAATGAGTGTATACATATATACACACACACATTCAGGTAAACTGTGCAATTTTTGCTTTAAAAATGATTGGATTATGTTGCTCTTATCTTCTGGTTAATGTTTTTATGCATTTAGTTAATCTGCATGCAATAGTTGTAGAACTGTCAACAATTTAAAAGTTGATTAAGTATGGCTAAGCCTAATTTGTTTTAACCAGAGCAGCTATATTTGTTTATGTTTGAAATAAGCAGAATAGTGAATCAAGTCTTTCTGCACCTTTCAGTGTCTTTTTGCCGAGTGGGACCAAAAGGAAAATTTTAGTTTGCGTACCGAAAAATCTTCCTTCTTGCCCGCTGGCCAAATTGCTTGTTTTTGCACAGAAACTCTAATTTTAATTGTAAAAATTGTTAGTGCAAAGGGGCAGTTTGCTCAGAAGGGCTATTAATTTTGTTTTGGCATTTTGCCTCGATACACTTTTTAAACTGTTGATAATAAAATTATCTTGTGATATCTGGCGTGCGCTTGCAATTGTCTGATCTCATATCTTTTTCCAGGCAGGCCTGCGATCAATGTTTATGTAAACAAATATTTAGTATTCGGAATGTAACAGATATTTTTTTTTTTGTACAAGATTAGTTTATTCTTTATTCTTTTTCTCGAGGTACCCGATTAATTATACTTAGATTCTATTTCAGTCTAATATGTGTATGTATGAGATGTGTTGTGAATTAAAATAAGAAAAACTTGGACAACATGGTCTTCATGTGAGAATCATGTTTATTCTTTAGTGTAAAATAATGTTATTTTTTATTATATTGTTGTTGAAATGAATTTTACAGTTTAAGTGCAAAAAACATGATATTTAATAAATAAAGATAACACCTAAAACATTTGAAAAGTCTCTTTGGGCATAATATAAAATCTGAAAGCTTCTGTATTTAATGTTTTATATTTTTCAATTTTTAATAAAGATATTTTGAGGTTTTATGTAGCTTTGCCTTGCCGCAAAGTAAGAGCTGAATTAATTGAGTGAGAGATATATCTAATGAAATTCGAAAAAATAAATGAAATGCAGCAAAAGATGTGTATAATTTAATATTCCGTGCATGGAAGTCGTGTGATGTACAAATCAGTTTTTTTAAAAAAAAAAAACATTTCTCATACTAATGTTTTATTTTATAAAACATATCATGTAAAACTAAATTTCTGACCAATAAATACATTAAACATAATAAGAAAAACAGAAAACAGCATCTGCTCTTTTTTTTTTTTTTTTTTTTTTTTTTGTTGTGTGTGTGTGTGTGTGTGTGTGTGTGACTGCATTTTATTCCATTGTACATCAGCATTTTTTGCAAGGAAAATGAGTATTCATTTGTATAAATTGCTCTTAGCTCATCCAGTGACTATAAAATCACTGATTATGAATGTATGTGGAAGAGAGATTTTATTCAGCTGTAGAATGTTGAAACTTTATATTTGGAACTGCTGTAACATCTAGTTGTGCACATCTGTTTTCACTCCATTCAGCAGTACCAAAAGTATATGCATATATGTCCCTTACGCAGCTTAAGCATGGGTTTTGGGGGTCTGTCGTGTATGAAACCTGTATTTAAACAGCATTTATTAGATAAACTTGTATAATTACTTATTTTAGTCTCCATTTTCATAAACTTAATTTCATTAAAATGACATTTACATTAAAGAAAAGTAAGAAAGCAAAATATCTTAAATCACAAGGTTATGTATACCAAGTGACAAAAAAATCTCATGACCGGATAAAGTTATTCTTGCCACTCAGAAGTCCTTGCCTGGCCTTTATTTTTGCAATCGTTGGCCATAGTCATACACTTTTAATTACAGAAGTGTTTTAAGTCGCAAAAATATTCTTGTTTTGGAAAAAATTACTTTTGGATAAATAACGAAATCTAACTTTTAGTGCGAGTCTCCCAATTCCTATGCTTATGCTTGGGAAAATTGTATACTCATTATGAAATAAAAATGTAAAGAAGTGTAACTCCTTTACGGCAAAAATTGACCAAGATATTTAACTTTAAAATCTGCAGTTTTTTGTCATTTCCAACTTGCCATCAGGTGTTCGTTAATTGAGGAAGAATATCTCTAGGAAATAAGTTTAAATGAAGTACAACAAAAATTGTGCATAATTTAAGAGGCCATACAGGGAAGTCATGTGGTTGCCCATATGAGATTTTTTTTAAATCAGAAACAGGTGCATAAAAAAAAAAAAATAATGTTAATTTTCATTGAAATTTTCTCAATTGCAATAATATAGTATGTATTGTAACTTTCTGACTTTTATAAAATATTTGTAGATGGAAAATGTCAACATTGGTGGCAAGTTATTTCTGTAATTATTATTTTACTAGTCCTATTTGCTTTGTTAAATGATAATTCTAATTATTTTTGAAGCATTGTTTATTGAAAATTTCTACATTGTAAAAATGATCCTTCAGATAAATATGTGTATGTATTCCCCATCACTTTCTTTATCATCATTGCAGTTTAAGTTATATTTTGTTCTTAAATTTGTTTAATATAATTATTTTTCAATTGGATATTGGTGCATTGTAATCCATTGGATTTCCTTTAAAATGAAAAAGGTAAATATGCTCGTAGAGAGGTAAACTAGTGCTGTTTTCTCAGAATCTTAATATTTTATTTGAGGTAAACTAGCCCTAAATTTTTAGAATATTTATATTTTATTTAACCAAATAATTTTAAATTTATTACTTTAACAAAATTGTATGTTATTTCCAGGGACTTCATAGCTCATGCTTCTGAATTCTTAAAAATGACTGCTGGTAACTTTTACATCAATGACAAGTCAACTGGTTCTGTTGTAGGACAACAGCCGTTTGGTGGTGGTCGTCTCTCAGGTGACTAATGCTCAAACTTTTTTTATTATTGTCATTTTTGCATCTCGTCTTATTCAGGTAAAAGACTGTAATGTGACCAAGCTCGATCTTTCTTCTTAAGGGATTAAATTAAAATTACTGATAAGTTCTCCCATCAACCTGTATTTATATTTGTATTGTATATTTGTAACCTGTATTTATATTTGTATTGTATAAAATTTTCTCCTTTAAAATTTTTTTAATTTTCCCCTTTAAGAAAATGGATATTTAAAATTTAAAATAAGATTGCATAAATAGCAACTACTTTCCATTCTGTGCTAACATATAGGTTATAAATGATTTATGGCATAGCAGAAAAAAAAAGAGTGAAAAAATGTTACGTCGTGAAAGTTATTAGTTGCTCTTAATTTGTGAGGAATTCCTTGTTCAGCCTGCATATGTTTCCAAGCTAATGCAGACAGCTATGGATGTTTTCATCGCCCACATTGAATTTTATTAGAGATTCTAGACAAGTTCAGATTTAATTTGGCATAGCAGTCTTTTAGCCTGATGATGTGCTAGAGCTGGGATCATCTACAAGAATCTCGTTTCCAGATATAGATTTTTGGTATTAGCTGTATTCACTAACTGAATCATCTCCAAATTTTAGGTTTTTTTTTAAGTGCCCTATGAAGCTTATTTCTACCAAATTTAAGTTCTAAAAGTAAATTAGCCAAAACAATTGACTTTGACGTATCTTAGATCAATTTTTCAAAATTTTAAATTATTAATTTCTGTAATTATTGTATAGCAGTTTCTCCAATATTCAATAATTGAATACACTGTCTAAGCTTGCATAACCACAATTTACTTGTAAAATATACATATATACATATAATTTTGACAATGACAAGACCCAAAAATTACATGAATGTACCCAATAATATAACTAGTATATCTCTCACTTTTTGCTAATTTATAATTATGTAACAGTCTAAATTTTTTAATATAGGAATAAAATATGTATTTATAGTATAAATTGTTCTTTTTAGAATATGAGTTCTACAGTAAAAGAGTGTTTCTTATTATTAGTAAAGAGTGTATTCTACAGTAAAGAATATTTTCTTATTATCTGCATTTCTATTTTCAACTTTTGCTGGAATTGTGTTGCATTTATCATGTGTGTATCTGAATACGTATTGATTTACATGCGATTTTAATAGTGTAGATGGTAATATAACAATAGAACAGTTTGACCAGATAGTACAAACTGTCTGTGAACCACTTTTTTGCAGCCAAAAAAGGTCATCAACATAAATTTCCTCCTCAACTTTTTGTCCCTCCTGAAGCAATTTGTGCCACTCCAAAATATTTGATTGACCTACGGTGTCACTCCCTTTGGCAGTCTTGATCATGTCATGGACCTCACTCACAGTTTTTCACAAAACTTCACCATGTAATGCTGCTTTAACAAACGATTCATGGTAAAAATGATGAGGCACCTTGAAAGGGGCTCATCTTAAACTCGACCTACATTGCATGAAGGCTTGGAGACAACTGGCGACTGGTGTGCTGGTAGCTAAGATCCCCCCCAACCCAACCAGTGCGTAACATCACCCTCTTTCACCATGTTTTGGCGGTGGGAAAAATCAGTCATACTACTTTCCAGACAAAACCTGTATATATGTGTGTGTATGTGAAATAATACATGATCAGTAACATCTATTATGAGAACAGGTTGAATAATGTGTGTATGGATGTTAATGTCAGGCATAAAATTCTGTTTGATAAAATCATATGATAAGCCAAAAATAGTTTATGATAAAATAATATGACTGTGACTTAAAACTAAATCAAATTGAATTTAAAATAAAAATTGCTAAATTTTCTTATATTTTCCATAAAATTCTCAAGAAATTAATTAATATTTCACTTTTTTGTAAACAATTCTAATAGTTTCATAAACATTCTTTTAATTTTCTGACTTGTGAAAGCTTATTTTAGTGGTCAAATTTTTTACAGGAACTAATGATAAAGCAGGCGGTCCTCACTATATGCTGCGATGGACATCTCCACAAACTGTTAAAGAAACACTTGTTCCTTTGTCTGAATGGAAATACCCATACATGTCTGCATAATTTCTTTCCAGTGTACCTTAAAGGAAGTCTTCCACTGATTTTAAAAAAAAAAAAAAAAATGTACTATTTTGTAATATGCAACACTTTAAGATTGTACTGCCTGCAAGTTTCTTAAAAAATAGGTGTATATTATTGCTTTGATAGCAAATTATGATTAATTTCATACACATTCATTTTAGAGCAAATTATTCACTTTCAAAATTTTCTGGTTAAAAGCAATCTGAAAATGTACTTTTTGTGTCCTTATGAGTGTTAATATCTTGTGCACAATAATTTTGAATCAAAAAACATATTTTAATATACAGAAACAAATGTTCATGTTGTTCAGTAGAATGTTTCTATTTTTAAATTAGTAACTTAAAATTATCCTTATCAATGAATAAATTATCCCATATATTTGACATAAAATAGCAGAACTTGAAGCAGCACTTTTTTAACTGTTAATGCTGTGTTGTTTATGGCAAAAGCTGGCAATTAAAAAATTAAATTTTTCCCTTGGATAAAAATTTATAGATTTTTTGCATGAATTTGCAAAAACTTTGTTTACTATAATTTTTAGAATTTAAGATCTGCAGGTTGTAATTATGAGTTTTTAAGTTTAAAATTATATATTCCTACAAAATGAATTTAAAACTCAGTTGAATATTAAATCTAAGTTCATATTGCCTTCCCATGTATTTTACAAAAGCACTTCTGGTTGAGGGGGCAAAAAAAGAGGGTGGATTTTATTTATGTGCCTAAACTTATGTACCTATATATCCAACTTTTAATAAATATTTCTAATTATTTTTCTTACATAATTTTTAAAATTAAATATGTAGTAGTGTTTTTTTACAGTAATGTAAGTAAACACTAGTACATATTTAATTTCAAAGTACACTTACTTTTAAAGTACTTACTTGTAAAAGTACAGGTTCTTTAAGTCTTGTATGGTGTTTTTCAATTTTGTTACTTTTTAATGTATCTATTTACTATAAACAATTGTACTGTCATTGTTATAAAATATAATTAAGGCTGCTTTTTATCTATTTTTTTCATTATAAATTATCCAAGTAAAAGTAAACTAGTCAGTTTTTTCATTGTGTTCCTTTTTTTTTACTCTATTACATAGTTTGCATGCTGGTATTTTTTATATTTGCATTTATGAATGAAACTACAAGGCATTTGCTGGTGAAAATGCATTTTGTTTTTCATTCACTTAAATTTATCTGATCATTCTGAGTTCAGATTGCAAAAATTTTTAAGCATTTATTTTTATATATTGTTGCTTTTATTATACTGTATATTTGGACAATAATTGTTCGTATCAGCTGATAATTTTTGGTTACAAAAAACTAGTTTTATATTGTTAATGCAATCTTTTTCAAACTATTAGTGTAATAGGCATAAAGTGCAGCTTACTGTTTCCTTAATTTTTTTGTACCACTGTGATGTATTGAAAAAAAAAATGGAATTTGTAAATTTCAAATTCAAGCATTTGCCCAGTGAGTTTTCTTTTGAACAACATTGATTATTTGTTATTGAGTTATTTGTTGGATAATTTTATTTCAGTTGTTATGTATTCTGTTCAGAGCCATGTTTTTCAACAAATTATAAGTAAAAAATAGAATGTAGCATGTCCTATGATAAAGTGTTGGTAAAGAAAATTTTAATTTGTAGTATTTAATTTAAAACTAATTAACTGATTAGTAGAATTGTTATTAGTAAGCTTTAATTTTCTATAAAATTATTTTTCTCCCTATATTGTTTTACCATCTGCATACATCAGTACCTAATTTTTCTTAGTTCCAGTTTGTAATCTCCATTTACATTAATGTTGTATGAATTAAAAGTGGAGAAAAAATTTACTTCTGATAGAAGTGCCAAATGGTATATGTGTGTTATTCAACATGATCTAAATTGCAATAAAATTCAAACATTGCAAAAATGTCTGTCTCATTGTATCTGCTCTATAGTTATCTGCATTTTGATTTTCACTGAATTCCTGGATATCTGTATCAATATCCAGATAAACAGAGAACACAAATAATCCAAAAAATACTCTGCAAAATTAAAATAAGTTCCTGGATATCTGTATCAATATCCAGATAAACAGAGAACACAAATAATCCAAAAAATACTCTGCAAAATTAAAATAAGTCACATTTTTTCAATTAAAATGTATCTTCAGTGTGATATGTTAGACATGCATACATCCCATTATGTTTGACATATTTCAATGAAACTTGTTATATGGACAGTAGGGGCAGTAAAAAATAAGTTTTAAGTTTGAACTGTAAATAGCAGTTCATGCAATGTAGAAAGGATGTTATAAAAATTAGAAACTTATAAATACGAATAGCCAATGCCATAAAATCATTTTTTCTCTTGCCACATATATACATAGTAAGATAATTTTTTTGGTTGAGAAATTCAAAGAAGAGTTCAGTGGATAACCACAAATTAGGATCCCTCACAACACATTTTTACTATTTTTAGAATAATGTTTGTCTTGTATATGTGTGTCACATTTTTCATCCACGATAATTGTTATATGAAACTTCTGAAAATTTCAGTTTTCCAAATTTAAGCTTTTTACCTTCATATAGTGCATTTAAAATGATTAGATTTTGGATAAAATTGGACAACTGGAAGTAATACTTTATTTGCAGCCCATAAAAACTGTTTATACTTTGTGTGTAAGAAATGCTCATGAGCTTGAACATAAAGAAATGCTCGTGTGTAAGAAATGCTCATGAACTTGATGGCAGATACATAAAGGAGAAAAGGGCACTGTATTTACAATGATGTATATCTGTATCTGTTGCAACACTTAACACTGTATTGTATGTGGAAAAAAATTGTGGCAACACTTAACTCTGTATTGGGAATTCTAAAGATATGCTGTTTTTAAATTTTTTTCAAGTTATTGATTTGTTAAACTGACGGAACATGTATATCTAAAGGATATGCTGCAATCAATGCAATGTTTTCAAATCAAAGCATGAGGACAGTTGTATACATGAGCATGTATAGTTATCATTGTCCGTTGTATGGGAGAATAGAATAATAAAATAATGAGCAGTGTTTATAATTAACATTGAGCCATAAAGTTTTTAAACAAATTAGATAACGGTATTAACAAATAATTAATAATGATAATTAACAAATGATTGCTAGTGTGTTAGTTAGTGTTAGAAAGTATTAGTTTATTTAAGGTTCATTTGCTGTTCCAGGAGGAATGTCTTGACCACATCAGATTTTTTCACTAAAAAAAAAGAACAGAAAAACTAGTGATCTTTGTTTGTCAAGTTGCTATTTTAGCTGCACTGTGAAAATATCAACATTTGAAATGTTTGCAGAAAGGAGCTATGTTAAAAAATGGTAAAATGGTTTCAAAATGATAACTAATAAATTTTAAGATACAGGTTGGAAGTGCTGCCAAGAAGAGGATGGAAACAGATTTCAAAACAAACTTGTGGATGAAGTCACTCTTCCTATACATGATAGAGAATCTTTTTCCCGATATTCTTCGATAAGTGCTCAAGCAGTGTGATATGTGATTATCTGTTCTGTCATCTATAGTACAAACCATTTTATTTTAAAATGCTATCCATGTAAGATATACATGGTGCAGAAGCTGCACCCTTTAGACATGCACTAGTGCACTGATTTTACTTTCCAGTTTTTACTAACTGTTGGCATTGCATGGCCTTGGAACATTTCAGACAGGGCTTGTTTTGCCCTAGACAAAGCAATGATTATTCAAAGCATATAGGGTATTACTGATCTCAGCGTTGTGCTTGAAGTCTCTGCATTCTGATTACATGACTTTATAATGTGGTTTTACTGCTGATTTCATTCTTCACCTTTTTTTCTGTGACGAGAGTTCTCTTCAAGGCCCCAAAATGTGTATCATTGCAATTACCCATTACCCATCTACAGCAAATGGTCCCTGCTGTATAAGAATGCAAATGTTTAGACTGCTATCTTCCTTCAAGATGGTTTAATAACCCATACTAGCCAATAAGTGAAGAAACTGCTTTGTGCTCTCTTTGGAGATGATTGGGTAATTTCGAAAAATTCCCCAAATCTCTGGCCTTTTCATTCTCTGGACTTAAATCCCTGTGACTCTTGATTGTGGGGTTCTTGAAAGATGAATATGCCTATGAAAATAGTCTTATGTATCTATGACAAAAGCATACAAACTGTGCCTAAATTGAAAACAAACATAATAAGTCATGTTGCTGCAATTCTTTAAGAAACCCTTTCCACTACTGTTGAATAAGCTGTAATGGGTTTTGAATGTGCGATTGATTGATGCAAATGGACTGTACATTGAATAGATGGTGTGATTAAAAAAGGCTGTATGTTTCTTACTACCCTTTTATGTGCTCCTTTTCACCTGAGCGTCAAAATTTGAATACTTTTTTTTTTAATTGCAGTTTTCTCTTTTTTTTCTCCAGGGTCCACATAATGAATTTACCAAATTTTGACAAAATATATCAACCCGAACAGCCCTACATAGTCTGAGTACCATCAATTAATAATCATCCTGTACTAATCTGATAATTTTTGGCGTGGGAAGGAGCCACTGCAGTCGGTAATTCAGTGTGAAGTAAGCTTAATTCAAATCTTCATCACATTTAAATCAGTTATTCACAAAAAAATGACATCTTTGATCTGTTAGAGCGATTGTATTTTGGTTTATGAGAATATTAACATAAGATATCAGAAAAATATTTTATGACCATTCAAGCGATATGAATGGTTATTTCTGGAAGTGTTTTTAAGCAATAAGAGTGTTTTTATATAAAATTTTAAAATGCATTGAGAAGAAATATGCTAGAGCACGGTCTTGCATAAATTTCTTGTATTATTAAAATACGCAGAATGTTCTGAATACGTATGCATTTTAATATTACCAGATGCTGCGTATGATGAAATGTACATTTTTTATGGAAAATTCTATGTATTTTATTTAATAAGTCTAGTATTGCATTTTTACTTCCTTGTACGAAGTAAAGGAAGTACTGTAATCACAAAAAGTTCCAGATATATTTCAACAAAAATGGCCATTTTAACCACTATCAAATGCAATTTAACAATGTTTTTGCATGACATTTGTACGTAAGGACAAAATAAAGGATTGTCCCCCCCCCAAATGGATTAAAAAATTTATTTAAAATGGATTCAGAAGGGTGTTTTTTTTTTTTTTTTTTTTTTTTTTTTTTGACACTACTTGTTTTTGAGTTATGCAAGATGTATATCTTGCATAACTCAAAAACGTACATACATATCTCTCATAACTCGAAAACCTATAGCAAATGTTGAAATTTTGTATATAGAACAGCTGCAACATGTAGTTGTGCGCCTCCCTTTTGGGTTGCAATTGGCCGCATCAAAAGTACATAAATATATACAGGGTGTTTATAAAGCCCCGGACCCATTTTGATGTTTAATAACTCATAAAATAATAAAGATAGATTAAAATTAATAACATAAATAGATAGGCTCAAAAAGTTTCATGACCCTTGTCAATGAACTTCCATGTGTGCCCCCTTAGTCGCACGGGGAATATCAAGCCGATATTCAATTTCACATCAGGTACCGGCAAGCATGTCGGCATACAGGGTTTATACAGCGGACCAATGTGACCTCCCTTGTCAATGAACTTCCATGTGTGCCCCCGCACGGGGTCGATAGTCGTCATGTATTCAGGCTACCGATGTTAAATGGGGGGCACTCAGGGGGGGGGGGGGGGGGGGGGGGGGGGGGGGGGTTGGGGTGGGGTTGGCCGGGGGGGGGGGGGGGGGGGGGGGGGGGGGGGTGGGGGGGGGGTGGGGGGGGGGGGGGGGGTGGGGGGGGGGGGGGGGGGGGGGGGGGGGGGGAGGGGGGGGGGGGGGGGGGGGGGGGGGGGGGGGGGGGGGTGGGGGGGGGGGGGGGGGGGGGGGGGGGGTGGGGGGGGGGGGGGGGGGGGGGGGGGGGGGGGGGGGGTGGGGGGGGGGGGGGGTGGGGGGGGGGGGGGGGGGGGGGTTGCGGGGGGGGGGGTGGTGTTGATGAAACTTCCATGGTTAGTCGCAGGGGAATATGTCAGCATGTCGGCATCTACAGAGGCTATTGCGGTTGTAATTCTGGCTTTTAGGTCATCAATGTTCTACACTCTCCTCCTGTAAACGTTGTCCTTTATAAATCCCCAAAGGAAAAGGTCCAGCGACGTTATATCAGGTGATCTGGGTGGCCAAGGAATTGGAGCTCCTCGTCCAATCCATCTTTCTCTAAAATGGTCATTCAGAGAACTACGAACGATGGTACCCCAATGAGGTGGTGCACCATGTTGTTGCAAAAAGACGTGTGGCTGAAGCTCTTCTAGTTGTGGAAATACGAAGTTTTCCAACATGCCTAAGTATACGACTGATGAGATCATCTTTTCTGTAAAAAAGAAAGGCCCAATGACTCAGTCGTGCGTTAGTCCACACCACACATTAACCTTTGGGGAATCCCTTTGTGCCTCACAGTATTCATGGTGATTTTCAGATCCCCATATATGCACATTATAAAAGAGAAGAAAAACAAAAGAGAGAAAAATGCAATTAATAAGCAGACGATATTTAGAAAAGTACAGATATTTAGACTGGAAAATGAAATTATCTGAAATTAACCACACGCGCAGACGATATTTATAAAAGTAAAGATATTCAAACCTGAAAAGGAAAATATATAAGTTATTCCATCACAGTATTCATGGGGATTTTCAGATCCCCATATATGCACATTATAAAAGAGAAGAAAAACAAAAGAGAGAAAAATGCAATTAATAAGCAGACGATATTTAGAAAAGTACAGATATTTAGACTGGAAAAGGAAATTATCTGAAATTAACCACACGCGCAGACGATATTTATAAAAGTAAAGATATTCAAACCTGAAAAGGAAAATATATAAGTT